TTCTTGTGGCCTCAACCCTTGTGCAACTGCGTATGCAAGAGCAGCATTTGTGTTTTCTGTGGCAGGAGGGGCAAGGAAGGACTGCAGCTCTGTTACTGCAGCACAGACCTTGGTTTCACTGGTCCTGTGCAGCCTGGACTTTCACTGGTCCTGTGCAGCACGGCTGAAAATTCCAGTGGCAGCTCTGCTTAAGTTACAGGCTCAATGCATGTGTGGAAAACAGGGGATATAGCTGTAGAGAGCCATGAGGAAAAGTGAAGAGCTGGGCACGGATCCACGCCTCAGGGAGCAGAAGAAAACTGTTGGTCTCGTGCTCCCTTTGCTGTAAACAGAAATACACCTGGATATTTTGTTATTCTCCTGAAGCGGTAACTCAATTTCAGATCCCTATTTTTATCCTAGATATACTTTTTGAAGAATCAGATGCCATAAATCTGTACCATAGTAATGAAAAGAATCTGTCCTTTTCTTAGCTTGTAAAGGACTTAAATGATATCCATGATCTATCTGAGTTTAGGAAATTATGAAGGAATTCTGCCAAGGCAGGGGCTCCTAGACATTGAACAGTGGCAGAAAAAACCTGCTCAGGCTTTCCCAAAAGATATCTTGGAAGAAGCTGTAGGTGTCTGGTGACAACATAAGCAAGATGCTAAATAATTCCTACAAGTCATGGTGTTTATTCCACTCTCTGTGAGCAACAAGTACACAGCTGTGGCTTTGCTTAAAGTATTCCTGAGTACTATTAGCGGTGAGTACTGGGTATTGTGAGAAGTCTAGCTTCATATGGAGTCTAGCTGTAGCCCCATAGGCAGTGCAAAGTTTTCCGAGCACAGACCTGTGCTGTCATGTTTAGTAGACACCAGCTCTCAAAGCAGATGGCTCCAAGAGACCAGCAGATAGCACTGGAAGAATTGCAGCCCTGGCAGTCACCTTCAGAAAATAAAGTCTTCTTGGGAACCAACAGTGTCTCTGCCCCTGCATCCAAAATCCCGCACAACGTCCTCCATGCCAGAGTCCAATGCAAATTTTGTAGAGATGGTGAAGCATGCAATAGATGACCACATCTTTTCAGTGGTTTCCAGTGATAGGACAAGGGGCAACAGGCTCAAGCTGGAACATGGGAAGTTCCATTCAAAAATGAGGAAGAACTTCTTTCTGGTGAGGGTGCCAGAGCCCTGGAACAGGCTGCCCAGGGAGGTGGTAGAGTCCCCTTCTCTGGAGATCTTCAAGCCCTGCCTGGATGCAGTCCTGAGTGATGTGCTCTGGGCAATCCTGCTTTGGCAGGGGAGTTGGGCTAGATGATGTCTAGAGGTCCCTTCCAACTCTGAAAATTCTGTGATACCATGAAATTGGAAGATTAAGATCTTATCCTTTAAGATACCATATTTGGTCAATGGTTTATGGTTTCATTTTGATTTCATTTCTTTTGGAGAGGGAACCACCCATGTGAAAGCAAGAAGATGCTGGGCATGCCTAAAAATGTAATAACTGATGCTTCCCAAATTTAGGACTGGAACTGTACTCTTGTCCTGAAATCAGTGGGCTATTGAATGCTGCACTGGGTTGAAAGCAAGTTGGTAACCCTTCTGGGGCTTTATATTTTAACTGTAGCCTGTGATACCAAAGGGGCTAGTCATGCTTCTTCTGTGATATTTTGGATTTACATATGCAAATGCTTTTTAATCAATGGGTATTAAGATTTATGATGGGCAAGGTAGCTGCCTTCCTGTTCCTACGTTCCTGTTCTTCCTCCATTTCCCAGCTACTGTTTTTAGAAACAGCCTTTTGTCTTTCAGTTATAAATGATAGATTCTTATACCCTGTAAGATTACTTCTACCAGAATATATAGATAGGAGTTTCATTATACTTATAAGCTAGCAGTCCCACCAGATTGGAAGCGCACAAATTCAAGTCATTTAATTTTATTTCCTTCCATGTGGGAAGCTTAAAAAGCTTAAGAAATAAGCCAAAGTCTAATCATAAATGATCCTTCCCCAGGGTTCTAATGAGTAGAAACGGATCTTTTTTTTAATGCAGATGTCAAAAGAGCTAATCTAGCAAATCACTGGAATAGGCATATGTAATAAAAATTTCATAGTCTGTTTACCTGTCTAATTGAATAAATGGCCAAAACCAGAATGAACGCTTTGTAACCTGCACTTGCCAGAACTGCTGCTGGGAATAATCATCCTCACTCTATGCATGTTTTGTGGTTTAGCCTTTTAAAATAAGATAAAGAGTTCAGGGTCTGAAGATAAAGGAAAAATAGTATTTTTGTTACCTGAAAAAGTGGAGAAAAACCAATTAAAAAATAATAAATGTTAATAGATTGGACCTTATTGCTAGATGATGCTATTAATCTGACATTGCCATTGGTGTGCTGTTTATAGAGAATTTTTTACTTGTATTCTGATGGAGTATATTTAATAAGAGCAATCATCCAAATTCTTCTCTATTTATTTTATTTGTTGTTTTGGTTTCAGAGACGGCATGCTTAGACAGTTTTGACTTTTTGTACTGAATTTGTGTAAGCTACATACTGTACTTAGAAGACATGACAAAGTTAGGTAATAATTCCTCATTCAACTGCTTCTACATTAACAACTCAGTTTTCTGATCACTTTCTATCTCAAACTTTATACCATGTTTACACACAGAAACAAAAATAAAGCGCTATGTAGAAAGGCAATTTGTGAAGACCATATGCGTTTCTTAAGCTCTCCTCAGTGATAAGGGTAACCACTGTTTTTCTATCTAGGTCTTAAGAAATAATATAATTGAGGAAGTCCCTGTGCTCTGTTGAATGCCACAAGTGAGGAGCGTTACACCTGCTGATTAGTTGCTCTTGGATAGATCTTCTGAATAATTCCATGAAGAGTTGCTTTAAAACTGAATTAAAATACAACCTGACTAGATACCAAATTGCTCTGACTGGCCTGAATATTCCTGACTTACTTCAGCAGGACAAAGAAATACAGTAGGTTTGCATGCTTGACCACACCTGGATCTCAGACATTTTCAGCTCTTCAGAGCTGAAAATGCAACTTTTCTCTAGTCTCCTCCCTTCACCAAAGGGCATACAGCTCTATACTCTGGCAAGCTGGGAGACGTCCGGTTGTCACCCAGTGATTTCCAGCTGGGTCCCCCTACTCATGGTCTGCTGCCCTCACACCCAAGTGCTATGCTGCTCTAGTTTTTCAGAATGCCACTCACCTACCAGCTCATGGAGCTCACAGAAATAAGCTCTCATGATAAGGCAGAGACGTGGTGAAGCCCTTTCTTCTGTCCAAGGATAAACTAGAAAGATATCAAATGCAACCAAACCTTCCTTTTCTTCTTTTCTCCTTCACCTTTTGTGGAGTCTGGAGTCCCATCAGCACTTCTGTAAAATCTGCCGTTCTAGCTGAAAACTGAGGATGGATGGGTCTCCAGGGACACCATAACTTCAACCTGGCTGTGTTCAACATTTGCATTCATTACATCAAAAAAGCAGCCATATGTGGATTTATGGAAGACACTGAACTCTCCAAAATTTCTTGCCTTGACTTGCACTGCAGGCTATTATCACAGCCATTAATCTTAAACCATCAAAATGGTGAGATAGCAGATGTGCTGGATTTTGTCTGATCTGCCTTCAAAGTAATAAAGAATAATGACACTGACAAGGAAACTCTTCAGGGAATCAGTAGAGCAGCCTCAGCTTTAGACCTCTTGAGAAACCAATACCACAAGCCTAACTGACAACAAGGATTTCTGTATGAAACAGCCCCATTCCGCTCCAGGTGATATTTGCATTGCTTTTAATCCAGTGGTTGAAATGAAATCAGTGACAATTTTCCTGGTGAAAATAAGACAAGATCAAAAAAATGCTGACACATCTTCCTGTTTTGTGTGGCAATAGATTAGCTGAATGTGGGGTCAACACTATGTGACGGGACACCTTTTGGAGTCTATATGGTATCCATCGTTACTTCGACTGGCATCTTCCTTTATCAGCAGGTTTCACAGCACTGAGGTCTGCTCTATGACTGTAGCATCTCCTTTGCTAAAACCTAAAGCAGCATGACTGTGATTTAGGGCAAACAAGACTCCAAAATGTCACTACTGCTGCAGTATTGAGGTGGTAAAAAATATGCCTCACGGAATCAACCTGGAGACTGAGGATCATATGAAAGGTATAAACAAAAGAACAGGGCTTTGAGTAAATGATTAAATTGATCACAGATCTATATCAAATTGCAATCCTTTCAAGGTATAGAGAATTACTTTTAACGTTCATGCTTACGGAATTACAGTTTCTAGATGTTAAGAGTGGGAACATAAATGATTTGTCATTTGCTCACGACCTTTCAAAAGTCTTACTAGACATTTGGTATGCTCTACCTATCGTGTGTTGAAGAATAAAGTTGCCCAGCTAACACAGTTTCAAAATGCAGTAGCTGTTGAAATAGATTTTTTCTTTTTTTTTTTTTTTTTTTTTAAAAGTGACTGCAGTGTCATCATCTTCAGTATGCTTCTGTTGCTTTGAAGCAGAAAGTTATCTAGCATTCACCTACAGACGTCACGAGATGAAGACTCCTTCATGTTGCCTATTCTCACATGCTGTATCTGTTTACACTTGCCATATCTTTAACTTGCAGAATTTGTTGTTGTGCCTTTTTATTCTTCATTTCAAAGGCATTCTTATATGCTGCTTTTTTTCCTCTTTTACTGAGGTTTGACAATGACAACTTTCTCTCTACAGACTGGAAACAAGCTCCCTCAGGAAAACCATCCTCTTTCCATAGGACAGGAACACACGACTTGTCAGAAGAGCCTAGATTCACAGTGTATCATTCAGTATCCCATTTCTGACTACCAAAAGCATTGGATACCTCAGAAGAAGATGTAAGAAAACACAAAATCTTTGTACAAGGATGTAATTAAGTAAAAAATTAAGCTATGGCTTTATCATGAGAATTAAACCCCCAGCATTTCAAAATCATTGATTACTACTAACCTGCTTGTTTTTCCTGTGAACCCAGCTTCCCTCTGTCCTTGAGGCAATCAAGATCTTTTTTTTATTCTCTTCTACTTCCCTCCTGCCTTAACTGATTTCTTTTGCTAATGTTGTTTTGAATCTTCAAAGCGCTCCTTGTTCTGACAGGGTGAAACAGTTGCTGGCTGATGCTGCTGCTGCAATCCACACTAAAGAGGATTTTGTGGTGGTGTTGATGTTTTTGCATCACCAGCAGATGTAAAGGAAGCTGCATTCACAAAACACTTTAAGCTACATAATGGCTCTTGAAAGCCAAAGGACGGTGAGGAAGGGAGCGTGCTCTGAGTGCTCTGGAAGGGTACATTATGTCTCTGCCAAATGTCATGCTGTAGAGAGGTTCCAGCTGAGCAGAGGTCCAACGACTGCATGAATGCCTGTAGGATGCGTGCTGTCGGTGTCAGTCCCTCTCCTCCACACCCTTCTGCTCCAGCTGCAGAGGGTGTAGGGAGGAACTGAGTCCACTGGACGACTTGGTGTGTCTGTCAGCCCCAGCTTGTCCTTCTCCTGGTGGTGCTGGTGGAGCTGAAAAGGGGCCTGTACCCCTTCTCCCAGGATTGGGGCAGAAATGGCTGGAAAAGAACAGGCTGCTGTCTTTACCGCTATATGCAGACAGTGAAATCGCTATCTTGCTCTATAAGCTTAGTTGAAGAGAGCTATGACTCACTGCAAATCACAGTCCTTGAAATGCAAGAAATAGTGTTTTTCCATGGTGGCTCCTGTGTCCTGTGCTGGAGGAGCAGGGTTCTCTTTAAGATTCTGCGCTTGTACAAGGTTTCCTTTCCACTGAAGTATGTGTCATGCTGGACTCCGAGTGACAGGCTTAATAAGATAGCTTTTCCTATACTTTGTATAGATGGGTAAGCTCTCCCTGTTCTATAGTTTTCCAGGTATATTCTGAAATAGCAGCCTTTCTTGCTTCCTGTGTGGTGACTGCTCAAGACCCACCAAACTCTCAGGTCATGAAAGTAATTGTAAAAGTGTGGGACAATGTGTGATATCTCTGTACAGCACTGGTTTTCACTCTCCGCAAATACAAATGACATAGTTCCTCTATGCCCTGAAGTCAAGCTTTCCTTGTGTAGATACTCTGGTCTGGTTTCAGAAATGTACTCTTTGCAGAGCGCTTTCACTTTGCAAAAGACCCTCAGCTCTTTCCCTTGATGCTGGCTCTTTATTCCTTCCTTCCTTCCTTTACTCCTCTCACGTCTTTCTCCTCACCTCCCTTCTTCCTTGCCTCCCTCGTCACTTCTTCCCTTCCTCCCTTCCTTTCTTTCTCTTTTTCATAACCAGATGTTTCTATAAACAATAGATTAAAAGCAAGGCTTTTCTGTAAACAGTGTGTTATGTTTTCTGTCAGGAAATCTTCCGCCTGTTTCAGAAGCTGGAAATGGGCTCTCCTGGGTTTAGATGTGCTTGGGGAACAGTGGGGAACACTGCTGGTGCAATGGGTGCTTCCTTTTCATCCCTTTTTTCTGTTTCTTACAGGTTATTTCTCTGCTTCATTCTCAGGTGAACTTTGCATTTCCTTTCCTGAATGAAGCTCTTGCATTTTTTCTCTGAGCTTAATCCACCACCAGTGAATACTGGATTAATCATACTGAAGTTAACAGTGCCATATAGAACAGAATAAATGGGACTTTAGATTAAAATCTTCTGAGGTTTTTCTGCACAGTATTTTAGGTAGTGTGTTTCTGGAGAGTCCTTTCCACTTTTTGCTCTTCACAGACCAACCTCACTGTGCTCCCATATATCCTTATCACCTCTGGGGCTTGTATACAACACATTCTCACAAAGTGTGGCACAGGGGCCATGCTTTAGCACATTTGTCTTAGAGAAAGAGCACACATTTAATTACAACTGTTGTATTTCCTTTATTCTTTAAGCTTAATTTGATTTTAAACTTTAAATAGCAAAGACAGTGAGATCTGTTTCGCTCCTGCGTACAGGAGAAGTAATTATTTTATGTGGGCTACTCCTTTCATGGAAGGGTTGAGTGTCTCCATGATAGATTGGGTCAAAAGTACAAGAGGACAGTAGGCCACCTATGTCCAAATATTTGGGTGAGAGAGGCCTCCCTCTCTCTAATTAGTGTCCAGCCTATTGTTATCTCTGTTGATAGTCTCTGTATGGCTGTATTGACACATCCTATATATTTGCAACTCTTCTAGGGTCGTGAGGGTTTTCTCCTTGTCTATTCTATGCCTCAGCCCAACAACAGACTAATACTGGTTTAGCCACAGGCCTTTCTCCTGTGACCTGGGAAGACAACAGTTGTGTGCGCAGCGTATCACCGCTGATGCCAGCTGTACCGCCTTCTGGCAAGAAAAGAACTGAAACAATGCCAAGTAATTTTAACTTTTAATGGCACAAGTCTGTGGCCTGTGAGTTGAATACGGGGCTCAGAGCTAGAGAGACTTTCTGCCCTAGCGACTCTGTCCTACTTGCTCAAACACACATTTTGGTTTCTTACTTTAGAAGTTGTGTGTATGTGGAAGAGTGTTAATAAGGCCCCTGTGGCAGATGACATATTGAAATGGTTACTGTATTCCAGTAAATAATAGTAAATGGAGGTTACCTATTCAGAACAACCCATACATAAGCCGAAAAGGGTTAGATGGATCTTCACTAACAGAAGTGAAAGCTCATGTTTAGGAAAAGACAAGCAAAATCTTATTTTACAGACTTAAACAAATTACATTTTTTCTGTATTTGTGATATACACAGTATTATTGTCTTGTCTATCCCAATTTCAATTTTTGCCTTAATATTTAGCCAGGGAAATCTGCTTTTCCAGCATATTATTCTAAGAGTGCAGCTTTGGAAATCTGCTGTGCCTCTTGGCTTTATAAATACCACAGACCTCTAACTGGGTAGCTTGGGATAGTCTTTCACTTATGGTCTGAATGCTCAAAAATAAGCCTCCTAGTGAAGGTCTTGATTCTTTATTTTATGAAAACTAGAACATGGGAGATATTATGGTGAATGATTTGTATACAATTTTGGTCAAACAATCATCTGTATGATTTTGAACAATGAACTGAATCACTGGACTGAATGAATACTGAGATGCTTGTGTGACCTTCTTTAAGGCAGAAGTGTTACAACAGGTACACGCTCTCCTGGGATGTGGGAGTCTTACTTTGAATCTTCTTTTGCCTGATTCAGCTGGATTGGATCCAAAGTGCCACACATTATTACTGTCTGCCTTAAGTAGTATATGAAAGGCTCTAGAACAAAACTTTCTAAATATCTCAGGGCAAGGCAGTTCCACGAGGATAGGTCAAGCAGAAGTTAGAAGAATAATTGCAAACAAGTTTTCAATCCTCTTAAATGTGTTCTATTGACTACTGAGTTTTTTCAGTCTCAGTTTCTTTAAGTATATAATGCATCAACAGGCAAAACTGAAATGAGTTAATTGCAGAACACTGTAAGTCACATTTATAAGGTTAATCCTCTAGAAGGTTGGAAAACTCTTGCAAGGAAAGTTATTTGCTTCTGTAGAAAGTTGTAGGATTTTATTTCTTTGCTTTCCATGTTAGCGCTTAACTTCAGTGTGGCAGGTTTATTCCATCCTTCTCCAATTTTATAAATGTAGTGTTTGACTTGTATTAAAAATATTCCAAAATGGGAACTCACTTGAGTTTCTCCTTTTTTGAGAAGAAAAAAATATCAGTTTGGAATTCAAGCAAATCTTAATTAAAAAAATCTGTTTAAGTCACTTTCTTAAGAAACTGAATACTTTCACATAGTTGAAGGCATACACATTAGTGTGCATCAATGCATGCTGTTTACCATATTTCACTAGTAAAAGTGAAATAGAATTGCTGCGGTGTAAATCCAAAAAATTTCTTTGCATTTGCTAGGTATTATGCCTATGAGTAACATATGTGTTGGTCCTAAATAGAACAAACATTGCAGTCTGTTAATGAGTGAGAAATAAGGAATGTCATTGCTGCCATTCATCCATGTGAAAGATGGGAGAATCTGACAAAGATAAAAATGTAACATCTCACCATTTTTGTTGTATGCTTTTCAGTTAAACAATTTTAAATCTTGTTGCTGTACAGAGAAAAGACTGAAGTCTTGCCAGAGGTAGTTGCCTTTGCTGTATCTCTTTATCTGCATCCAAAGACCCAGGTGACAAAAATCTTCTCTGTCATAGCACCTTGTTGTAGCTCTGTATTCAATAAAACTGCAAGGAGCACCTAGAGTCTCTTATCTTTAATCTTATAAGACATATGTGTATTAAAAAAAAAAAAAAAAAAAAGAGAAAGCAATAGAAGATTTCTATGAGAAAAGAAATTTGGACAAAGAAAAAAATTTTTAAAGACTTCTGTGGAAACTGCATGTTGTAGGAAATACCTTTAATGGACTAGGAAATGGAATGGGATGTGGCATTAAAGTAATTTCAAGATACTCTAATAGACTTATTGGCTGCTGTTTCATACAACTAACTTTCCCACTTTAAATTTCATCATTAGTTTCATATTTGCTTTTGAAAGCATTCTTCTATATGTGACCTATAAACTGTAATATGCAATGTGTCTAGATGCTTGTGGAATTGCACTTCAAAATATTGGGATCTTTTTTGTTTGCCTGAGAAAATGTTCCCCTATAATGTACCAAATTATTCTAATGACTTCTGAACATCTCTTCCCTTTCCTTCTTTCTGCCCTTCTCTTTTCTTGGCCATGAACCAAGTTCATCTCTGATGTCACACTGTTAAGTCAATGGAGTTATTTAGCATGCTGGGCCCAATTAGTCCCTGATATGCTTGTATCCAGCTGGTATCAAGCTCTTCATTGGTTTCCTGTGATGTCTTTGTTAAGCTAATTGCTTGGCTTGACCACCTGTGAGAAGGATGAATTGCACTCACATGTATGTTAGAATGGCACTTTAGTGCTGATTGAATTTGTTCATGGTCTGGTGGTTGATGCGTTCATGACTGCTCTCCTGAGAACTGAAGAATAAAAATATTTCTTGAGAATAAGTGATAAAGTTGACTGAAATAGCACAACAGGTCAGGTCAGAATTGCTTGCTGTTAGGACACCAAAGTCAGGTTCGCGTAGGTAGATTGTTGCTGGAGTGGACATTTCTGAATGTTAACAGGAGGCCAAACCTTCCAGGGGAGAAAAAGTAACTTTTTCTTTCAGGTTACGTCAACTCGCCAAGTCAG